TAAGATCTGCCTAATGTCCCGACAGCTGTGGAGGAGGTGTTGGTGTCAACACGGCGTGCATCTGCATTAAAAACCATGACGGCTTACAGTGTGTGGCACCAAATTTCTGTTTTTCTCCTCTCCAAAATTAGAGTCTGAAGCCGAGAGCGACTTGCAACTTTAATCGAACAGATGCTAAGTCCTGAGAAGCTTGAGGGGCCGTGCTGATGTTTCTGTGGATTTTTGGACATGCTGGGAGATTTAAGGCATGCATGAATTTTAAAATGTGCAAAAAGAAGCGATTTATTCCAAACCAGAAGTTACTTGAGTTCTCAATCTGCTGGAGTCAATGTGGACGGAGGTTTTAAAGGCTAATCCGCCCCTGGAGGTTCAGGGCTTCAAACCACTTGTGGGGAGCTGTGAAAGTAGCATTAAAGATGAAATGGAAGACTTTATCCAAAAGCGAGCAGGTTCTTTCAGATTTAAGGTGAACTTAAATCTCAATGAGGAGCTCATCATCTTTGGGGAGTCCCTCGTAAATGGACAGGGTAACAAATGGCCGACATTGAATTGAAAAACTGAGACAAACCTTAAATCTGTTTTGATATATTTCCCAAGAGTCATCAGTCGTTTCTTATGGCTGTTATTTACGCAGGGACAGGTCTTTTGAAGGTCTAGTTTCTGTAAAGAAATATCATGTTTTTACGTATAAAACCCAAATAAAACATGTGGGAATCGATCCAATGGGCTCTAAATGTTAACATGACTTCTGTTAGGGTCAAAACGTGCATTTCCATTCTGTCCAAAGAAGATTTCAAGTATTTTAAAAAAAGCTGTTCAAGTGACGGAAATTCAACAGCTTTTACAGCATTTTCCTTTAAAATCTTTATGCAAGAAAAAGGCTTTTATAATACCAAGCTGACGGACTTAGAGGCAAAGTGACGACTGGGAGCAAAGAGGTTGACAAATTATAGATTTCATGATGCATTATTTGAATTTGTTAGAAGACAGACGTTCAAAATGTTTCTTTATTTTCTGTCAAAATCGATAGATTTACTTTTCTTTACTTTCTGGAGCATGGAGGAACAAGCTGGTCGGTGAACATGATAAAACGTCACATAAAACAGACATGCCAAGACAAAGAGACACAATTCTGATTGAAGTTTAGTTTAAAGCATCCTATATCCTTAATAACTCATTAACGAAAGGCTAATTAAAGGGCTTTGCCGCCCTGAGTTCCGACTCAGGATGTGACTCCTGGATGCTGATCACAGATACAAAGAGAGATCCACGGGGTGGAGACGGGTCAGCCATAAAGAGAAGAATCCTGCATGGATGGATGAGCAAACCTTTTACAGCCAAAAAAGTGCAGCAAGATGGGACTGTGTGACTCCGCAAAAGGCCACGGGATCAGTGGAAAAGCCGGACACACTCTCCGCTCAGTGGATTCCTGAGAGGAGTTTAAAAAGAGGACAGAAGAGCAGATTGGGCTCAGTAAATGTCATTAAAACCAGATTAGACAGGTCGCCATCACCTAAAGTGTTAAACAGATACAACAGCCACATTCTGCTTCTGTTTTGCTAACTATTCCTCAAACATCCCCATCACTGTATTGCTCTATTGTTTCCTCCATAGACAGTCAAAGATCTATAAATCCGTTATGTAACAAGAATTTGCTTGGATTTGATTAGCCTAAACATAAGGATGGATTCAGCCATCTTTTAGTTAGGACCATGTTGTTATTTTGAACATGAGCATGATGGCTTGCAGTTTATTTAAATTGAGATCCAACTGTGCACAATAGACAGAGAACACTCTACTTTACCTCCATTTTGGCTCATATTGTCTCACCGAAAATATTTCAGATTGTCTCAGCTCATTCTGAAAATAGTATTATTGTCTGTTCTAATGATACATTTACGTAATTTCATCTTAAAAAGTAACTAAAGATGGAGCCAAATCCTGTATGTCATGATTTTTGGAAAGAGTTTTCTGCTCTTTCTTTTAAACTTGTTGGTTTTTATTAGGAGCATATTTTGTAAAGGAGGCCACTACCTGTTTCTGTTGGAGACAGAGTGGTGTTGGGGTTTCTACACACACACACTCCAAACAAAAGTCTTTTGGACGACCCTCAGGAGGAAGAGGCCTCTTAGATGGACTGAAGTGTGTGTGTGTGTGTGTGAGTGTGTGTGTGCTCCTGTTTAGTGCTGCTAAGCTGCTTGAGTCAGCAGTAACGGAGTAACCTCCAGTAGCTGCCAGCCGGGCGCTGAAGGCAGCCGACAGGTGGTCAGAGCCCCGCTAACGGACCCAGGGCAACATTAGCAACTGCACTCTGACTGGCTCTTTGTGAAAAAAAGAACCCAGCTTCCTCAAACATTCTTTGAGAAATGAGGTGTTTTCCCTCATTGATGGAGCATGATAAAATCAATTAGTAAAAATGGACTTAAAATAAATCCAATGCCGATTTTTTTCCTATTTAAGTAATACACAATTATTTTCGGATTATCTCCCTTTGACACAACAGAACATGTCCATCCTTACACACATTCTCCTCTTTTCTGGCCATAGACGGCTCAGTTTATTTAAATATATGTATCCCATAGTAGCCTGACTGAAACGGAAACCGAGCTTCCAATTAAAGGTATAAACATCCAAGTAACTTGTTTATGGGTTGAATAACTTTTTATGTTTAAGTCTAAATAAACTGAAACAGGCTTCACATAGTCCAAAGTTCCATCTTTTAACAAAAAAAAAGTGTCGAAATACTATTTAACTCACATTAAAATCTGCTCTAATTCACAGATGTTTCCATTGAAGGAAAAAACTTCAGCAATTGTGAGTGAAAATCAGCTTTTTTGATGCTGGAGTGCAAACCTGTGGTCACTTAAAACATTTCCAGGCTCTCTGTCCTGGAAAATTAGTCAAACGGTGGCTCAGTTCACCTTTTTCTGAATGAATGAAAAGGATGGAAGTCAGATTTAAGTGTAGTTTTGATTCATCTGTGATCCAGTGTAGCAGATAGCCTGGTTAAATATGACACGTTAGAAAAGTAGCTGTGCGGAAATTTAAAACTTGCTGTTTTTGACTGGATCCTGTAGTGTTTAGCACCAGGGACAGCAAACGTCACACAGCTGTGCATCAGATGCACGATCTGAGTCCGGAAACACATTTCTGAGGCAATTCTGGTCTTCTCCGACATGCCACATGACCATTAAAGGTTCTGGACACAGCCTTAAAGTTAGGCCCCCTCACCCAGGAATGCTGGGCTGTTCAGATGTGTCACTTTCCCTTTTGGTCCCGAAATGCACCGGGGATAAAAAGCATGGTGGCGTGTCTGAATGTGTGTTTCTGTGTCTCCTTGGTCAGCGCGATCGTCCACGACCACCACCATGGTCATCGACAGTAAGGCCGGAGAGGCCGGGTCAGCGCCCGTCCGGCCGCCCAGGAGGAGTTTCACGGAAGACCTCTCCTCTACTTTCAGCTCGCCGCTGGCCTGGATCCTGGTCCTGGCGCTAATCATAACCTGGTCATGTGTTTTTGTCATTATGTTCGATCTGATGGACTACAAGACCGTTTCAGGTACGGCCACGACGGGATTTGGACGATTTTTTTTTTTTTTAGCTTAGTCTGACTTATTTTATATGTATAACTGCCAAATATTCTGACAATATAAATTATTCTGAGTCTGTTTATCCAAATATCTCCGATTTTTTATGATCAAGATGTGAATCTGAGTGATGGATGGTGAGGATTTCATCTCTCCTCAGGCTCATATTCTTGTTTTTTTTTAAATAGTTTTTGATAAACTGAAAGACTAAGTTCCATAAATGAGCAAGACAACGCACAAAGTTAGCACAAAGATAAAGAAACTGGAGGAAAACGAAGACGAGAAGGTTATAAAAACGGATTGGTTCCATCAAACCAGGAGTGGTTTTACAGTATTTTACATTTTGACAGGAAAGCTCCTTTATTTTAAATCTCAGTTTAACTGACTGTTTGTGTGTAAATCTTTCTCAACGTTTCCACTGTTGTGTTAAAAGTCAGTTTAAAGGGTAAAAACATGAAAGACTAAAGATCTTTCCTTTGAGATCTTTGACCAGTAATGCTACTGAATTAAACTCAGTTCTGTAACATTACTGAGATATTAGTTTAGATTCTTATATTGTAAAAAGGCAAAGCTTGAACATCTCTCTTTATGTCTGAGGTGAACAGCTGGACTCATTTTCTAACCTTCATCCCTCATTAGCGACATTAAGTGTGATGAACAGTAAACTAATAGTTTCACATTAATAACAATTTATTAAAGGTAATGAGTTGCTTTACTTTCGTCTAACATTTCTTATGAAATCAAACAAAATTAATGTGTGAAATGTGTTTTAATGTTCCTTTTATTTATTTTTATTTATTAACTTCTTTAAACGATTAATTTCCATTTGTCTCCTTTCCATTTCTTCTCCTCTCCTCTTCCTTCCTCTCCTTCCCCTCTTCTTTCCTCTCGAATACTTTCCTTATCTTATCTTCTCTTTCCTTTCCTTTCCTTTCCTTTCCTCTCCTCTTCTTTCCTTTCCCTTAATCTTCCATCCTTTCCCTTAATCATCTATCCATTTTATTTATTTCCTTCTATTTATTTATATTTCCTTCCTCTCTTTTACTCCACCTTATCTCCTTTCCTCATAAATCATTTCCTTTCCTCTCCTCTGTTTTTCTAAAATGTGTCTTATTGCTACTCTTTTTCATCCAACCAGATCGACCGCCTCTCATCAGGAAAGTTTTAAAGGATTCAGGCCGTAGAGGCAAGGCACAATTTGCTACTAACGACAGACCAGAAGCAAACTAAAACTACTAACGAGCTAATGTTTATCACAAATACTGGAGAGTTCTTTCACAGAGGAGATCTGTAGCTGAACTTTACGGCTGTTTTCTGCTGGTGATGCCTTCATGCCTGATGCTGACTGTATTCTGGCTGTTCAGCCATAGAATCGCTTTCCATTTCCTCTCTGGGGAACGTTTTTTTCCGGCAATCTGCGCTGTTTTTCTGCTGTTTCAAGTGTTTTTTATGCTCCCTGCATCAGTCTGTGGGAAGCAGGTTCAAACAGCGTGAAACTGTTGCACTTTTCTTTTTTTTTTATTTGGATTTGTTAAGAATTTCCCCGTGTATATTTGACTTTTAGCCCGTATAGAGGAGGCTGCTTTAAAATCAGCCCATTATTAAAACATCTGTTGTTTCCAGCCTGTAGTTCAAAAGGAAAGCAGATGGTACGTTTGCACTGGGAACGCTCTTTCACGGAAACGTTTGCTTCCTAAACTTACAGCACGGCATTTAACTGAGCAGAGATTTGATGCAAACACAAGACAATGCTGAAAATACATAAATGAAATGGAAAAATGTCAAAGAAATAGATGACTTTTCATTGCTTTTTGCACAGCAATATGCTTAAACGTGCTCATTTCGGTGGTTAAACTGAGTGGTGGGTCATGGTGGGTATCCTTAATGTGCTCCAATCAGGTCCTGACATTCATCTCCAGGCCTCTCAAACACGTTTCCTCTCACCCCATCTGAGTTTAACCACTAGTTATTTAGCTGCTTTTTTTCCCAACATGCTGACAGATGTATCCTGTGCAGAAAAGAACCTTTACCAAACAGAACCCCTGACTCCTGGTTGATCTCTGTGTCCACTCCTCTGGCAGGAGGTCTCAGCAAAATGCGCTCGGACCCGTTGAGGGTGGTGAACGATGCGGTGGAAGAGTCGACCAACCTGGTCTCCGCGGTGTTAAACTTCGCCGCCAGCCTGATTGCTCCTGATGAAGAAGACGGTACGCGCCATAACGCTCAATACGACCTCACAACCGTGCTAAACTTTGAGTTTACCGCCTCAGAAGTGGTTGAAAAGATATTTTAAAGTCCTTTGATGCATCTCCCTCTCACCCGTTTAGGAGGCCTGTACGCAGTGAGGAAAAAAGGTTCGTACAAACAGGATTTGCCTGCGTTTTGGGCTTTTAGGTGTATTGTTTTTTTGCACTTGGAGTTGGAGTTTGCCCACAGCTCCTTTCTCCTCATTGAAAAATCTAAATTTGCACTGCCTGGATTTAGCATGTCCGCGTTCAGAAACGACCTGACATCAACCCAAAATCTGTCTCAGAGATTTGACGCGGAAATGTCCAGATTAGACATCGTGAGCTGGCCACTGCAGGAAGCTGCTTGTTTTACAGGCACACAGCTTTTTTAAAGTTTTTTTTCACCAACTCCAGCGACTTAAGGAGAACAATATGTGACTTCATACACTGCTTCATATGTAAAAATGCAGTGGCAGTGTTGGAAAAACTAAGTGGACTGGTTCAGTATCTGAAACAGTCGTTATCCGTGTGGCTGTGGATTCATTTTGGAGCACAACTGGGCCTTACAGCTTGGTTAATATGAAATATCATGTGCAGAAAGGTGTAATTTGTTGTTCCGAGGCAGTGTTTGCCTATTTCTGAGCCCTTTACAGAATTAGAGGGATGTTTCACCATGCTCTGATGCAGAATTAGGTTTGAAATTAATTGAAATAACGTATGTTAATGGCATTTTAACAAAAATACTGGAGGTTTTTGTTAAAATGAAGCTGAGTGACCTCTGAAAGACCTGCAGGACAACACGGGAAAGCTATTACAGATACTGATGTGGTGATGGGTTCTAGCTAACTGTATTTATGAAACGTCTCCAAGATTCAACGTGGTTGGAGGAGGAGCAAATGGAGGTGAAGAATAAGAAACGAAGAGGTACCTGATTAATAGCTTCCTGAACTCCACCCTGTAACAATCGACTACTGAAAGAAACCTTTGGATATCTCAGTACTCAACTGAACTGAGATCAGTGTGTCTTTTGTCTTAATTAGATGCTCCCAAAGTGGCTTGTGTGTCTTTTCCCTTCCACACTTGATCCTAACAGGTCTCACAAAGTTTTTACCTTCTAATGAAAACCACCTGGAAATGAATTTGTGAAGTCCAGCATGCCTGATCCCGTTCAAACTGTGTATCTGGTGCTATTTCCTACTTTTAAACTTATTTCTTTTTACCTGATATACAGGAGAATTTCTACCATCAAGAAGTAAAGGTTTGTATCTCATGGTTTCGATGAAGATTTGATGCTGTCTGAGATAAAATGTGATGACTGTGAACATTGGAATAACTCGGCGTGTGTCCAGTCATAGGAATGCAGGCCAAGGAGAAGCTGCCGGCCATTGAAGTGGAAGAGGAGGGAGAGGAGTTGGGAGAGGAAGAGGGGGAAGAGACTGATGAGGTGGAGGCCCCGGCAGAGGAGGAGAAACAGGAGGAGTTAGAAGGAGAGGAAGACGAGGAAGAAGAGGATGACGAGGGATATGATGAGGAGTATGATGATGAGGAGTATGATGAGGAGTATGATGATGAGGAATATGATGAGGAGTATGACGAGGAGGAGTATGATGATGAGGAGTATGATGAGGGGGAGTATGATGAGGAGGAGGAATATGAAGAAGCTGAGGAAGAAGGGGAAGATGAAGGAGGAGATGATGTAGAAGAAGATGGACAATTGGAGGAGGAGGGAGTTATTGAACAAGATGAAGATGAAGAGGGCTTGGAAGAAGAAGATGATGAAGGGGATGCTGGAGGAGTGGATGATGAGGAGGAACAGGAAGAAGAAGGAGAAGATGATGAGGAGGAGGAGGCTGGAGGAGTGGAAGAAGAGGAAGAGGAGGAGGACGACGATGTGGAGGAGGAAGCTGGAGGA